CCGGTTTATTTATAAAAAAAATGTGAAATGTAACGCTCGAGGGAAAGAGGAAAATCTGCCGCATTTGCATCGTTCGTATTTGAAAAATATAATTTGCTATGTCAAGCATGTGGAAAACTGTTTCTGTGACACTTTGCAACAAGATTTATCTGATATCAATATTGGAAAAAGTGGGAATTGTTTAAAGCAGAAATATTATGATGGATATATCAATACATCGGGCTCTAATGCCTACACCGTTCGTTTTGCGGCTTTTAGGTGTTTAGGGCAAGGGATTCTGACAGAAGGCTTGGGTTCAAATATTGATAGTCACCAATAACTTTTAGCTTTGTTAACATTTTAAGAAATTATGGTTTGTAGTCTGTGCTACTTAAAAACATGATAATAAAGATTTAGAGCAAAAAATAACTTCCTTTACTAAAACCAATACGATAATTAGTTTCAATAAGACGAATCACGTTTGTGTAAGAACAATCGCTTTACAATTTCTGAAAGTAAATTCTATCCATAGTGAATCTAAATATGAAGTAATTCCTGAAAACTTGTCTACCATCATTGGTTTAGTTGGTTATAAGAATATTATTATGACTAAAATATGTAGATATATATCCATGCTTATAGTTCTAAAAAGTTAGAATGCTTGCAGGAATTAGCAAATACTACAAGCTATAATTAGTACAATGTTTTTTTTAGATTAGTTAACCTATTTGAACAAAAATATTACATTGTATTTAAAGTAAAAAATAGACATAGAAGTAAAAAAATATGTAAAAACAAAAAAAAACTTTAACTGCGTTAAACGATAGTTTATGGCTTCATTTACATCGACATATTGACAACATTTTATGATTTGGAGAAGCATTAAGTTTTATTGGTACAGCTGTTTTCTGTCAACAATGAAACCAATTTGTCAATTAGCTCGAGGTTCAGGAATGGTAATTGCAATTATCTTTCTAAATGATCGATTGGGTTGGTGAATACCTTCAATTATTGTCCTTGTTTCAGGCTTGTTTCGTAAAACGAAGAGCTAACTAACTTAATAGTTTACTCATATCAAAACACTACCTACTATAGTCCTTTTAGCGAATTTCCCTATAGGGAAGTAGCTATTACCGTAGGTCTCATGGTAAGACTTAGGCCCGGGACCGATTTACTTTTTCATTTTGATGTCCCCAGAGGCCAAAAACACCATTCGTTCAAATTTTTATATATGTATATATATATATATATATATATATGTGTCCGTGAACACGATAACTTGAGTAATTTTTATCCGATTTTGATGAAATTTTGTTTGAAGGTGTAAGGTGGGATAAACTTGAATGGGTTCGCGATCCAGCATGATCGGACCGTGGGAGCAGGGTTTTATGGGGGGTTTATGGGGTAAAAATTGGTTTTTCTCACTTTTGACCCTCAAAACACAAAATTTCCCAATTTATCTCTAAACCTTCTTAAAGAGCTTAAAAAAACAAACAATTCAGTATATCAAAGTGTTTTTGTAGGGTTATTGGTTACGGAGAAAACTAAAAAAATGGTAAATTTAAAATTCCCATGTTATTCTTATGGAGATTATTGTAAAATGTTGTAGTTTGCTTGTTTATGGATATCTTTTGATCAAACTTGGCAAATATATTCATTTATACTAAACATAATTATTTTACTTAAAATACACACTTTATTAGTTTCCTTGAAGCAGCAAACCTAGGTACTCGTTAAACCTAATGTTATTTAAATAGATCAATTGAAAATCAATTCAGCCAAATGGAAATTCGCTTGGACGGCAGGTTTGCTGCAGCGGGGGTATTTGATCCTTACATCCTTGGACGCTAGGACTTAATCAACGGTTTTCGAGTAATTTAAGAAACAAAATTTTAAACAGCCGCCATTTTGTTTTATGAATTTGAAAAATCGTCATAATTTTTTTGTAGCTTTGTCTAGTTGTCGTAAATGTTTGTGCAAAGTTTCAACTTCGTATGTTTAACCAATCTTCAGAAAAAAATTAATAAGTGAAAAAAACTAAATGGCGGCTATCTGAGTAAATAAGGACTTCCGGACAATTTAAATATGATATTTAGATATGTTTTTTACCCAGGAACAATGCCCTAAAATATTGGTAGAGAGTTCCGGGACACCCTGTATAGGCATTAGCAGCCAAAACTAGTGCTGATTGCTGGTATCTTGATTCAGCTTGTACGAATCACATGACAGGTCAGAGAGATTTACTTCAAAAATACCAAAAGTATAACAAAACTGGTATGGATGTCATTGTGGCCAACAATGAAAAGCTGAAATGTGAAGGTCAAGTAGAAGCAACAGTCATGATAGAGTCTGTTGAGAGGAAAGTTACTGATGTTGTCTATGTACCTAATTTAAGTTTAAATTTGCTTTCTGTTAGTCGAATGGTAAATAAAGGTCTAACAATGGTTTTTTTCTGAAGACGGGTGTTATGTATACAAACAGAAGGACTGTATGTATCGGGTCAACCTGTAGCTCATGCCACAAATGTGGATGGTCTTTAAAAGTTGGACATTGATCCTGATAACCAAATGTCAAGCAACTTTGCGGGAAATAGTAAAGACACAGAAGATCTATGGCACCGTCGTCTTGCTCATTTAAGTCGGGAATCCATGCAATTATTGAAGGACAAAATGTCAACTGGTATGTCATATTCTGGTCAAGGTTCACCCTGTATTTCTTGCATACAAGGTAAGCAAACTACAACTCCTTATTCTAAAAAGAAGAAAGGAACTCGTGCTGCAGAAATTTTAGGATTAGTGCATTCTGACTTATGCGGCCCAGTCAATGTTACTTCGCATGGAGGAGCTCAATATTTACTAACTCTCACTGATGATTTCTCAAGAAAGACATTCGGCTACTTTTTGAAGCAAAAGAATGAAGTTGTTTCCAAAATTCTTAAGAGTTATTTACCCTTAATCAATAAATATTTCTATACTTGAAATTAATTAAACATGCTTTCAAAGACTTAGACGGTAATTTTAGCTGATAAGAATAAATGTATTTACAAACCCTACAGTATGACTGTAACAATAATTGCAATCAAGACATATTATTGGTAATGGATAAAAAACAACAACACAAAAAGAGCATTTATGAGTTCAAGTGGCATAAACCTTCGATGCTATTTTGTATATTTTATTTTATTTTACATACCTATTGGCAAACTATTTATTACACCAATTACACTTAACGTTTATATTTTGTTAACAAATGTTACCATTATCTGTTAAAATTTATATTCGAATTGTGACAGCTCTTAAGAAAAAAAACTGTTCAAATGGACACGAGAAAACAATAATTTATCTAATATACAACTAGATTTATATAAAATCAATCGTTTTCCTCAAAGTATTTGTGTAAAAAGAGAAGTATACAAATATCAATAGCCAATATCACGTTTTCGTAATGGAAGGAATAAGAGTCGACCCGAACTCGCCGGCAATCGGCAACAGAAGACAGCAGGTGCATTTTATATCCGTACATCCTACAATATTGTTTTTATACTCAGTGTTTACAAGACAGAGGTTATTAACGGTTTTATATTCCACTTAAAGTTGTCTAAAACGTTGTTCTATCCAAAAATATGATTCTTTGTCTGATCTGCATTATCTCTTAATTTAAATTATTTGTTATCTAATTGTTGTCAACTAATTGAATTTGCAATGTTTTTGCACAATAAAAATTTGCCAAAATACAAAAATATTAATTGTTCTTTCACCCTATCTTAGGTCAAATTTTATGTCAGTATTTACAATTAGTTACATAAGCCGCTTAGCAAAAAAAGAAACATGTTAGGTTTTCACTATTATTAATTCTTACATCATCTTGTAACTGTATATGTACTTCTTGCATTTTAACAGCCATTCTGCATGTCATTATTTTCATTTCTTTTAAACATTATGAATACCGTATAAATAAATTAATTCACCAAACGTACGTTTGAGATATTAAGTAGTAAGCAATCGTAAGTTAAAAAGTTAATATTTTCTACCGGGTATAACAAGTAACTTACAAAACATTGCTTGCTCTGCGAATAAAACATAAAATTATAATAAAACGTACTTCTTGGTTTATTATATTGGGTACAGCTATTTTCGTTTGGTAGTATAAATTTAAATATACTTACAAATAAAAAAAAAAAAACCGTCTGTCAAATTTAACTTCTTTTTACACTTTTTCATCTTATTAGGCTTCTTGATACTCAATTAATCAAATAAGATAAAACATAACCCTATCAAAATAAACTTATAAACATGCCCTTTCCATTGGTGTGACAATCAGTTGTTTTAAATAACGGAAACGGGCGTACTATACCAAGAGTTTAGTTTTGCACCATTCTTTTTGAATAACCCTGTATTTATTCTTCAATAGCTTATATGCACAATTTTAAAAATCAGACCACTGTTGATGTTCAATGAATACTCTATAAAAGAGTATTAAGGTAAAAAACTGGGAAGCAACAACAGATCCACAAAACCTCATTAATTGATGGTTTATGGCTTCATTTACATAAACAGATTGATGACTACACCTCATGAGAACAGGGTAAACCTAAATTATTTTACTACAACCATTTCTATCAACAATGAAACCAATTTGTCATTAGCTAACTTTTCATAAATACCAACTGCAATTATCTTTCCAAACAAACGATGTCGTTTTAAAAATAAGTATTGTTTAAGAGTTTATTTCATGACATATTTTCAACCCTTAACACAACTACGTGAAATTCAAAACAGAGTTTAGAAGTTTAGCTAAACACTGCTTGACTGAGGGTTGGTTTTTACAGTTGTAAATAAAGATGATATCCTGTATGGCGTGGTGAATTAGACACGAAGGGTCACCATACACTAATTGTAATGTGTAGAGGGGAGAGAAAGGGGGGAGAGTGAGAGAGCAAGAGAGAGACCAGGGCTAGGGGTGAGAAGAGTCCTACTGCGCAGGTTCCTATTGGGCGGTGATGTTGCAGTATTCAGTGGTGGTCCACACAGCATCCCGTGCAACGATCTCTATCGCGCTACAGACTCAGCTTTGTCTAAGTGTGTAGTCGTTACCGTGAGTTTTGGTGTTTTACGAAGACTTCCATCTCGGTAAGCTTCCTGAGGATACGTGGGTGTGAGTGAGAGAGTGAATGTGCAAGAGAGTGCGTATAGAAGAGGTTACGCTCGCCTGGTGTGATATAGGTGATGGTGATATTGCTCAGGGGTATGACGACATGGGTTTTGACATGATAAACCTCGGGTGTAAGATATTTGATTGTAATTTGTTTTATTTTCATTCATCTCTGGTTGACCTGCTTGACCCCTTGGAAGAGGTGAATGAGACAACTATGCCTTTTTAGGATCTGGGTTCTTAAAGGATATACGTTGGAAAAAATCTATATACACAATCGATAGCTACACACAAACACACTAAGAACATGTTATATGGATTTAAAGATTGAACACACTTATATAAAACAAAATCCAATCGATTATCAATGTAATGATCGAACATAATTAAAGATTTATTTTGACCATAACTTGGTCGAGTCAAACTTGAATTCCCTATTTTCCCCATAAGGGTTTAGGTTCGAAATAATTCGTATGTTTCTTGGATCCGTGGAATAAATAGATCAACTTAGTCCACGGAACTGAAAAACATTTTCACAAAAGAAAAATCACGTTAAATCCACTTATTGGAAAAATATCTTACTCCCTTGACCGCGGATAATGCAAAAACAATCAATTTTATTTAAATATAAGTTATTGATCAAATAAATAAATCGAATATGATAAAACGTTTGTGGCGTTTTACAAATTTAAAGTATGATAGGTAAAAAATAATATTTTCAATTAGATTGATTTATTTTTATTACAAAGCTGTTATTCTAACCTATTATTTTTTCATTTGTAATAGCAACACGTAACTATATTGTAGTTAAATATTTTTGCCTGAGTTAATATAGTAATGTTATGCGAAAAATTTGTTTGCACTAATATTTCAGCAACCTATAAAGGTTTGAATGTGATTCCAATTATAAAATTTCTCTAAACTAACACAGACTATAAAATACACTTCTTATAAGGTAAATCAAATGCAATCCATGCTGACTATGTTAATTATAGATGTTTATACAAAATGCAAGTTGGTCACTTCCATCTTACGTTTGGGTTCTTGTTTTTAAAATGAACTGGGTGGATGCTGTGACCCTTAAAAGTATTATTTTTCGGGGGGGGGGGGTGTTTATTTGTATTTACTTCAAATGAAAAATGTATTGATCATAGAAGAACGTTTGTGATTAGGAGTGGACTTCTATTGGATAAACGTTTTTAAAAAACCTATTCAGACCTTAATATTTTGGGGAGAATACACTGAAATTTATGACTTACAACGAAAAAAAACTATAAAAATATCTTAGTCAATCAGTAAGTACCTAATTTGTGTAAAATAAGTACAAATGTATGTTTACCATTATCTAGCACAATATTTTTCGAAATAACTTTGTAAATTTGCAAAATAATAAATTTTGAAGGCATTCAAATATTATTACAATAACGATGATATTTTTATCACAATAAGTTTCATATTAAGTTTATTTAAGTTAATTGTAATATTGTCCAATATTTAAGATTAATCAACTAATAAGTCTGTAATGTTTCAGTATCAAACCTAAGACATTCAAATTATTAGACTTCAATTGTTTTATAATTTTTTTTAGAAATATTGTTAATAACTTTGATCAGGTAACTATAAGATAAGAATATTTATTTTTTTATACAACTGGTCAATATGTAGGGTTTATTTAGACGGATGTTTAAATAATATATATCTGAAAAATATAAATTAATAGTTGAAATAAATCAAATTAAAATATGTGTACACACATTAAAACCCATTAACTAAAAAGATATTGGAATTACTAAATAAAAAAAAAATGATAATAAGATAATATTTTTCAAAGCTTTACTTGGTAGCAAGATATACAACACTAAAGAAATTCCGAAGATTCTCCAACTGTAGGGTATTTACATTGGATCCGAGGAGATATCTTGAAAATATTATATTCTCAACCTTCATTTCTCTCTTTGAACATATCTTTACATATACTAATAAAAGCATATCAAATACACTTATACAACATTTTGATATATTTGTTTTTATTATATTGCTTTTAGACCAACTATGTAAACATATCGATGTTCTAAATTAACCAAAGGATCAATGGATTTTATTTTTATTTATTAGTATTTTACGCATTTTTTTACTAAAATGTTGGCATGCTTTTTTTAAAAATAATGATTTGTTAAAATTTGAGTTGAAATTATTTTTATACTGAATTAAGAAAATAAGTAATGTTTTATTTGATTATACTTTTAATCTGAATGAGCATAAATCTTTTACATGCTAAAATCCTTTAAGATAGAAGTTAAAGTAGTTGCTAACGTGATGATTATCTTCGTCTTGCGACATTTAGTAAAACAATGAAATAAATGAATTCAATGTAGTTAACCTTTCTTTGCTGAGTGTAAACAAAACAAATGGAAACAAGTTCATTTATATGCGTTCTATATAATCCCTTAATATAAATTATAATTCTGAATGAAATTTTAAGTTTCTAAAACTCAGATTGTATTTAGTAGTGATTATTTATTTTTTAACTGATCTTCACAAACCTTATCTTGGGGTCTGATGTTGATTATGATTAGGGTCATAGCATACTACCAAAAACTGATCCTCACACATCTTATCTTATGGTCTGATGACGAACATGATAAAAGCTGTACTACTAAATACTGATTGCAATACGGCTTATCACGTAGTCTGATGTTGAGTATGATTAGGGTTATTCTACCAAAAACTGATCTTCACACATCTTATCTTGTGGTCTGATGTAGAGTATGATTAGGGTTATACTACGAAAATCTGATCTTCACAAACCTTATCTTGTGGTCTGATGTTGAGCATTAATAAGGGTTATACTACCAAAAACTGATATTCACACATCTTATCTTATGGCCTGATGTCGAAAATGATAAAAGTTGTACTACTAAAAACTGATTACAATACGTCTTATCGTGTAGTCTGATATCGAGTATAATTATAGTTGTATTGATAAAAACTGATATCTATATCTTATCTTGTGGTCTGATGTCTAGTACGATAAGGGTTCTACTAGTAAAAGTAAATATTTGCTTATTCCAACCTGTATTATGGTAAAACAGAATGATTTGTAATAATACAATTAGTTACCAATTATCTATTGAATTCATTCTTATTAAGTGGACTTAAATCAATTAAGTATTACAGTATCATATACTGAGTCCCACTATGATATATTTATGATATACTTATGATATATTTTGTTGCAAAACAGGATGATCAAGATTATTGTAATGAAAACCGTTTCTACACACTATCATTTATCCTGTTGCGATCCTGGGTTTATATTCTATATTAAATAAAACCTGTACTGTATCAATCTCGAAGGTATTTTAGGACTAATTACTAGTTAACAGTAGCATTACCATAGACGAAATCGAAGGCGAATTGTACCACTAAATACTAATCTACAGTCCTAACATCATTTAATGAGACAGTGAGTTTGTTCCATTAAATTGTAAATGTATATCAATTCGAACAACCCCATTAAATTAACCATTCATCTACTAGTTTGGTTTGTTTGAGAACGAAATTAAACTTTATTTATAAAAAATAATAACCCATGATTTTAGACTATAATATACTCTATTTAAATACTGATGTGATAAGTTTAACATTTATTCTTAATACATTACAAACTTATTTCAAAGACTTATCCTATTTTTTTTTTAATTATAATATAGCATAAATTTAACTGCAGGTATTATTAAGACTTACATTGAAGACAAAGTCTTAATTTGGGGACAATTAAAACATGCAATTTTGGACAGGAATTGAGATTATATAACATATATTTCAGTCTGTTTGTTACTTGATGACTTATAAGACCAACACCACTTCAATATTCGTCCAGCTTTGAACTAAATTGTCAAATTTGAAAATGTTACCAATTAGAAAAAAAATACTCAACGCTTCCATAAAATAATCTACAATTTAACTGAACCTACAAAAGACAGTTATTACAAATCATCCAAAGTTTTACAGTAGTTATCTAAGCATCCAGTGAGAAATGTGGACCTTTTTTACTAGAGATAAATTTAGAGTAGTGTAGGTTATCAGATAGTGCCTAGTGCCTCTGCCTTGCCTAGTGTGTCAGTTTTGTCTAAGGTTATGATGGCAGCAGAAAATCTTATTTAAGAAGAAATTAAATCTTTTGTTGATACAACTTTATTGAAACAAACAATATTAACAGTTACATGCATGGAAAATATTTGTTCTTAATTTTGGGCCAAATTTTTGACAAATGAACAATTAGTGAGGTGACATTGCTGTAGATAAATACTAGTTTCTCCACTGGTAGGCTTACATTCTGTTTCGTTAGGTAAAATGTTGATACATCAGCTGTTAGCAAACTATTGATCGATCAGCTGTTTTGCAAATTATTTCACGAATGTCATTTTATATGAATACTTTATAAACAATCGTTTTATTATAATAATTTCAGTGACAGTAAAATGAGAGTTATTGTTTTTGACGTATTTGAATAACACTTTTTATTTAACTTGTGGTGGTGGAAACAATAAGTAATTTGCAGATGGTATTATATGTTACAAGTCAAAGAGTGATTTCTAAACAATATTAGGATTATCATTTGTTGAAAATGTCAATGAAACAAGAAACTTAAATGCAATTAAAAGAGCTATGAGTTGTGGACCCTTAAGTTAGTCAAGTACAAGCTTATAACTAACTCTATTACACTTTAATCTTAGCAAATAACGCTGAAGTACTCGACATGAGTTTGAGAAAACGAGTTAAAAGTTGTCCACAGTTTTATTTTAGAAAAAGAAACACTCTTTACAAACCGTGATGTGTTCTTATCCGGACATTTTTCGTTGATACAAAAATTAAGTACCTAAAACCATGTAAGTTTAATACATCAAGTTTTAATTTTTTACCAAAGTAAATTTAAACTTTTTATATATTGAATAATCTAAACTTACAAATGTTG